TACATACATACATACATACATACATACATACATACATACATACATACATACATACATACATACATACATACCTACATACATACATACATACATACACACATACATACATACATACATACATACATTCATACATACATACATACATACATACATACATACACATACTCGCCAAAAGACACACACATATATATATATATAAATAAATAAATATATATATATAAATATATACATACATACACACATTTTACACATACATTATGAGTGTATATATATATATATATATATATATATATATATATATATATATTATATTATATATATATATATATATATATATAATACCATATACGGTCTTTGGGTGAGTGTGAGTGTGTGTGTTGTGTGTGTGTTTGTGAGTGTGTGTGTGTATCTGACAAAGATTAAAGTTTATGAAACTTGCTTCGAGAACACACTCCCTTATGTCAGTTGACTCTATATGTGTCGTCTGCTTACTAGGACTTTAGGTTATTTTTACGATGGTCTCCCCATTTGCACACCGGCAGTTGTATGTCAACTCCATTCATAAGTTGGTTGGACTAGCCTACCGTAGTCGAGGTTATGGGTGTCGCAGTCTGTTGTTGTCTGGTATTTACATTTTTATATCCTAGAAAGAGACGACCTGAGACACAGGTTTTGTCACTCTCTATGGGAGTTGTGTGTTAGACCAAGCATATAAATGTTTTAGAAATATTGAAATCTCTGGCATGGTGAAATAAACAACACTCGGTGTAAGTGCGAGTGCAGAATATCCCAGTGACCTTGTGTGAAAGTCGGATCACCTATCAGAGATGATGTGGTCAGTAGGTCGTGCAATCAGAAGCGAGGTAAGTGTGTAGCCGTGTGTAAATGGAGAGACCAGCGTAACAAATAACTGGACTTCATACCAGAAGTCAGAGAGCTTAAAAGTACACATAACTATTTGTGATATGAGTGACCTAAGTGAGAAGTGAAAGTGGAAACTTGGGCCACTGGTGCGGAAGTGATGTGTGAGATTTACGGATTTAATCTCACGTGAGAGTGACCACTGGTAGATGAGAATCCTGTGGTAGTCTGAGTCAGTAGCCTTTAGTCAGTGATAGAGTTCGGACGCTTGTTTGTGTTGTGTGACTGTTTTAATCATGCGTTTTATTCTTCACGGTCTAGTTGAATTTGCTGTATTAGAAAATATCGTTGTGAATTTTTTAGTGTAGATATTCGTCGGTGGACGGGGTAAGAGTTGGCCCATGTGTGGCGGGTTACGCATTTGGCCATCCATAAGTCACGCTGGTCGACCTGAAGTACCCGTGTGTTAAAACCAGTGTGTGTGGCGAATGTGAAGATGTCAGAAAATACTTCCAAGTATGACAATCCGGATTTTATTCCCTAATTTAGTGCGACTGTCTTATGTCCTCGGGAAGTGAGGGGGGGGGGGGCAGAGAAGGGGTCCTCAGAGATAGTCGACATAGGATGGTCACACCAATCAGTGAAAGATGGATTCTGAGCGATCGGGCAAGCAATCAGGAGACTGGGGAGAACTCTTAGGACTTTGGGCAGGTATAGTGTGATAGTAGAGCATACATGAATCCCACTTGTTTAAGTTGCAAACCTTGCATGTTACCGTCTTCAAAAGGTTCAGTGTGAACAGTTCGGACTTTGTGCCGGTGTAGTGTGCCTGCAGAGGATACTTGAATCGCACTTGTGTTTCAGCTGGGAACCTTATGGGTATAATCTGTAAGTGGTTTAACTAGAAGGTGTCCGGACTTTGCACCGGTATTTATTGAGCGAGTGATCGATTAATTCAACGAGAGCGACCGAGAGACTACTTGTTCATCTTACATCAGCAGTTCACCATCGTCCTGCGTTCGACCATATCAAACAAGACTGAATGCACTAGTTAATCATACCTTGAGTGACTTATTATAGTTTCCTTAAGCAGTTTCTGGTTTCTCTGAGACAAAACTAATGCTAGACCCGGAAAGGAATGACCTCAGTTAATCATAAACCCTATACGCTTGTTAGATGGCCATATTGTATATATGTCGACGTGATATCGCAACCTATTCAACATCAATAAAAAGAAAAAGGACTGAACACTTTCTAAATGCGCTGCACGAGACACATCAATGGCACATCATTGCGAGACTTTGTCCCTAACAAGTGAGTATTTGAAAGAACATGAATGCATGCAGTATACTTTCTGCTCAAGCAATGACGCCTGCGTTGATTGGGACATGTCTAACATTGTCTTCCATGGTGAATAGGAAACAGGGAAAAGACCTCCAGGGAGGCCAAGATTACACTATAAGGACAGATGCAAAAGCGATCTGAAAAAAGTAACATTGAAGCAAACACTTGGGGACATATCGAATGCAGACCGACTTCTATGTATGCATTTGCAAGAGTCCAAACACATCGAGCTATAGAGAGGTGATGTCTGAGAGAAAACCCTGTCCCAGTGTAATAGGAGTATCAGCGTTTGAATGTGGACTATGAGACAGAGACTGCCACTCCCGCATTGGACTTTTCAACCATAAGTCCAAATCCAGCAGCACAATCTGTGGTCCCCATGGACTAACGGTCGCTTACTGCTTGTGATTGTGTGTATGTTTTCCTACACAATAATGTATGTTGATTTGTGTGTGTCTGTGTCGTTTATGTACGTTCGTGCTTATTGTATTCATGCATGTATGGGTATTAAGTGTTTGTTAAATCGAAAAATAGATAATATGACCTATGATACACAAGATGACTAACCGCTGACATTGACGGGATCAAAACCTAAACAAAGGACACAAAAATATGAGAAACATGGAAAAAATGCAGTGGAGAAGTAATGAATAAGTAACTTCTGAAAGTGACGACAAAGAACCAGAGCCTTTACTTGATATAAAACACAATCTGAAACAAAATTCAAAAGTCACCAGGTGTCGACGAAATACCAGAAGAGCTAATTCAGGCAGGAGGAGAGGCCAGAGTCCGAATTAACCATCCAATGTGCATGAAGATATGCAACAGCGCCATTTGGCTTAGAGCATGGAAAAGAACATATCCATATCCCTGAACCAAAGAAATGCAAATTTGAAACTATGCTCCAATTACAGTATCATCGCATTAATAAATTATGCTAGCAATATCCTTTGAGAATGGTGATGAAGAGAATTAAAGGAAAACTACAATAAGAGCGACATGATGCAGAAGCGGGTGCTCAGTGTTTTCCCAGTGAAGTCGCAGTCATAATACTTATGTATAGAAGCTATGCAAATATCATCATCTTTTAGCTCGTCCTTTGCATTAACTCGCTCCCAACATGTACCGCGGTTTGTTTTTGTAGCCTTTGTCAATTTGTATTTTTGGTGTATTACTGTGGGAGAAAGCGGATGCAAATTTCGTAGCAAACACTTTCCGGGTCAGTGAATTTGCTGGATATTGTCATGACACTCTAAACTTAAAATAACATTATACACGTTTAAGTGGGTCATAACATGTGTGTGCCGGGAACATGTTCTTTATGTCATGTCACTGACGGATTCACATCAGCAACCATGTGTAGTGTGTTGTTGTATTTCTGGGAAGCCACGATATCGTAGTGCTTAGAACTTTTGGCGGACTGCATGTGCTTAAAAGTTGGAGTCCTCTTCAAGGAGATTTCATTTAACTGTACCATAATTCTCATCATTTTCCGCGCTATATGCGTTCCAGCTTTTTTAAAAATAAATTGTATCAACAACGAACACGTACCAGCATATGAAAAATATAGCTTGATACCTCAGTATCTACATCATACCCCTTGCAATACGGTGTGTTCAAGTGTGTTAGTACTGTGTTCGTGAAGTTATTTTTCTTTTTATAAAGCTACTGGTGTTCTCGATCAGTTTTAAAAATGTTTGTGTACATTCCCGAACACATGACAATTCTGGTAACAAAGCCTGCAAAAGCGGAAGATTGTAGTGGTTCGGTGACATACCATACCATGGCCTACTAGCAACAACAACAGTTACAACAACAACGGTTCATACATGACCAGATTAGTTGTTGATATGTGACACTTTCCCTTTGTGTTGGACAACATTTTCCTCCCAAAACAGTTGTTAACCTACCCGGGATAGTAAATCACAAGTGAAAGTATCAATCTAATTTCATAATCATCAGCATTGTAGCTGGGACTTTGCAGAACGACGCTCACATCATAGTCTGAGGGCACGAGTGCATTTTTCCTTGTTTGCCTGTCTCGTGCATGCTGATGCCCACACATTATATGGGATAGCAGATGATATACTGGTAGTTGAATATAGATGAGGCAGAACAAAGAGACCGATTGGAACAAAGTTGCTTCATGTCACTTCTCTTTGACAGAGCAAATCACTCAAGTAGAACGTTCTAAACACTTTATAGGCAACTTGAATGGGTGGCACAGGCGGATGCTCAAGGAATAACCTAATGTCGGCTTTATTTATTAAACATTTCCTAGGGACACGTACTTGCCAGTTTTCTTATGTTCTGTACCAGTCATGGAGGCTACTGTAGGTTTGTCACAACCAGGCTCATCGGGCACTGATAATCCCTCATACAAGACAACGAATTGAAAACAAAAATTAAATCAGAGAAAACACTTGACAAGTAAAATAAACACAACTTGGGCGCGAACAGTTTCAAATGTGCTTTATACACATGACTCCATCTTCACGCCAGGAGCTATTGCATTCCCATTGGACCAGTCAAATACCTCACAGTTGATGTCATCAGTCGTCCTAGTTGTCTTATAGCTGCCAGATTGATAGAAAAAGAGCAAGAAGAGGACAAAGTGACAAAGAGATAAAAACTTGAATGTTTTTGACAAATGGTTCGGACATGTCAATGGTGCGATGTAACTCTATGATGATGGTAGGATGTCAGATAGCACATACATCATGAGATTGCGATGAACATATATAATAGCTTTCAAGGAAGAAACATGGCTGATTGATTGGGTGCACGTTGTCAAGATGACAAAAGACTCCAGCGTACGACTTAGCTTCCACTGTTGTGTCTTCATGATATACTCCATGTCTTTCTTGTATGACTTCATAGCCATGGACTCGTGGGATTACAGCTACATGGGGAGGTTGAAATTTGCCACATTCTGGAACGGGTTACTTCACGTGCTGTATTCTGCTGTTTGTGTTGTTGTGGACATCCAAGACAGAATGGTAGCTGCGTGCCCATCGCAGGGGTCAGTAAGGCGATTACAGTGTGCTCGCGACACTTTCCATACTGCAATCATCTTTCCCTTTGGAACATTTTGTGTTCTCTCATTTTGGGGACTTTATTTCAAAGACAGAGAACTTGTTTATCCCCAGAGACTAGACTCTGACCTCACATGCTCTATTATCTTCAGTGAGGAACAAATAACACGCTGGAGGGATGCCATCAACTTTGGAAGAAAAGTCAATAGTCTAGTCATAAAACACAGTCTTACCTTTATATTTACACTGTGCGACAAAATCTTAGTTCATCATCGTTATCCGCCATTTCTGACCGGCATATGCGTCTCCGAGTGTTTTCCTTTGTTCTACTGTATTCTGCTTTGTTATTTGGGATTTCGCCAAGGTATCTGGGTGTATCCCTTCATGAGATACCTGGACATTCCAGCAAGGTTTATGGTCATTTTATTTGGCTTCGTACCCATTGCAATTTTTCATGTCATTGGGAAATATATTACCTCTTTTATCTGGCGTGGGGCAGTCAAGAGGAAAGGCATTTAACCTCCAGCCGGCGCATGAACAGTTAGACTTTTTGAAGCTCAAATACTTTATTGTTAAAGGATATGTTTGTGTGTTTGTTTATTCGACAGATCAACATCGTGCCTCCCATAAGTGTTCCATTCTACTTCTAACTCAAGCCCGAATCTGAAGAATCCAATCTCAGTGCACAAACTCCGTTGCACCGGCGAGGATCTTGCCTGAAATACTTTGGGTAGATTAATCACTTAAAATTTTGTCCGGCAGCACCGCTAGACTTCTCTTTTCGATATCCAACTGCCAAAGGATTTTTTACGTGCCCAGTAATACACACGGGCGTCCAGATATCAGGAGACATTACTAGCAGTTCAAGTGGAAAAAAAAATCCATCCTTCACCGGGGCCTGAACCCGGGACCTTCGGCACTGAAGGCGGACACCATACCTCGAGACCACTCAGCCCCCTAAATAGTAGGCTAAACAGCAACCCTGTTATAGGTTATAATTAGCGGTTGCCGCTAGTAGAGGGGCTGGATGCCGGCTTGTAGACCTACGCAAGGTTCATTTTGTTGTTCTTGTTGTTGAAATAATTGACCATGGGTCCAAGCTTAAAGTGGTTACCAAGAAATGCCATAAACAACGAAGAAGGCCAGCGTGAGGCCGACTACATCATCAGTCAAAGACCACTCGGTCTATGACACTGTGAGACTAGGATAATATGACTGATGAGCCATTGATGTATAAGTCCCATTACTTTGTATTTCTTCTTTGTAATAAGCCTTTTGTTATTTTCAACGCGTCTTTAATTGCTACAGTCAAAACAGATTGGTTAGAGTTGATGGCATTATGTTTTACTTTAAAAAAAAAAATACAGTTGTGTACACAAGACTCCAAGTTATTGGAGATGGTTGCAAGTGAACCATTCCAGTTATTTTCACATATCATAACATGATGAAAATCTCAAGATATATTTTCATCATCATATCTCCTTTTAACAGTGGCTTGATAATGTGTATGACATTGTCTGAACCACTTTCTTCTGCAAATCTTCACTGTCGATAAACAGCTTACAATGTATCGCGTTTCTCCCTTTGAATCTTCATAAATTTCCTCTAAGTAGCAGCGCTGTCACATGTCTGATGATCCCCACAGTTTACTCGATGATTTAAATAAACTGGTAAATGTTAATATTGTGATTTAACAATCTCCCAGGGCCTTAGTATCCTCCACCATGATATTGATTAAAGCAGGTAGCCCTTTCTTCTTCATATGTGTTTCTTGATAATCCAAGAGCATGGGGACAAACACCCGTTTCTTGAATATCTGCACTCGGCCTATTAGTTTCATGTAGCTTCTATACATCTCATTTTCACAGCCGATGGAAACTAGACAGATAAATTAGCTCGAGATGTGCCAAAGCTAAATCAAGTAATGGGGCAACTATCTTCCCTGTTCACACACAAGCAGATACCTCGGACTGCAAAAGTGAATCTTATCAGGACTATATTTTGGCCAACACTATGCAGTCAGTGCCAAACGTGGACACTTACATCCTTAATGAACTTAAAATTGTGATAACAGAGATAAAATGCATTAAAAGAGCTGCAGGAGTTTCAAGGAAAGACTGAATAAGAAATCACGAAATCAGACGAATGCTAGAAATAAAGCTAGTCTTACAGGGTATCAAATAACAAAAAATGAAGTGGTTTGGATACCTAACACGAATGCCCTGGTACTGTCTGCTACAGCGAGCCACACTTAAACATTACAACTGGTATAGAGTGATCAGAAGCCCTCGGAAAATATGAAGTGATGGCGTTAAGAACAGCTTTAGAGAAATGAGCATTAATCTTAATAGTGCTGTTGACAGAGCTCATCAACGAACGTTTTATATATCAACCCCCCCCCCCCCCCCCTTTTCCCCCCGACACTTTACTGAAGTACACAGTGGAAGAGAAGAAGAGAAAGAAGAAGCTCCTATACGAATGTTTCGTTGGCGTATGTGGCTTAGAATTAAGAACACAGTAGATTCTCCTACTTCTTCACCTTCACTGGCTGTATAGTCCGGCCGACAGTTCTCTTAGATTCTCCTAATTCTTCACCTCTCACCGGCTGTATAGTACGGCGGACAGTTCTCTTAGATTCTCCTACTTCTTCACCTTCACTGGCTGTATAGTCCGGCGACAGTTCTCTTAGATTCTCCTACTTCTTCACCTTCACTGGCTGTATAGTCCGGCGGACAGTTCTCTTAGATTCTCCTACTTCTTCACCTTCACCGGCTGTATAATCCGGCGGACAGTTCTCTTAGGTCGTCCCCTTCTGGACTTTAGTCTTGCTTCAGAATTTGAGTGTTGTGTGCACATCCGTTTAACAGATCTGACTTTTTCAAATACATTTTTTTTAACAGACTGTTGATTCCTTTCCTCTGGGGCAGATTCACCCCAACGTCGAAGAAAGCCATCGGTTAGTCGACTCTTGCGATGTCCATGATGGGGGACAGTGGGTCTGTTTCCCGCTCCCCCCCCCCCCTTACAGTTGGGCCCCAGAACCGACACGGGGAGTTGATTAATTCCGACACACCTGATTTAATTCAGCTGCATGTTAGAATACCTCTTTGTTTTTTATGTCGACAATGGTATGAGCGTCGATTCATCGCCCAGACGTCAGTGATAAACTACTGTATATAAACCTGACCAGTAAAATGACAAACAACCAACACATGCTAGTTTACTGTCTTACACCGTCTTGTAAGGAAAACACATTTAATGTATATCTTGTATTTGGTAATTATAATTTTTTTATACGAATACTATCTTTCTGCTCACTGATGTTAAGCTTCCATGAGTATTTCATGTTTCTTAGCTATTGGTATTTTTATGTTCATAAATAATGTGAGGAAACAAGATTTCAAAAGGATAAACATTAATCAGGGAGTCCAAAGATGCTGAAATAGATTCTGTCCATAATGTGGAGCAGATGGCATAGGAAAGAACGGAATGATGAACTAGCATGTGAGCTCTTTAGGACGCATACACGTTACCGAATGATGAAGATAATGATGATAACTATTGTGAAGAAAAAGCATCTTTCTACAATGTTGCAGTACATCCAGTCACCTCTAATTCAGCCAGATTCATCAGTCTCATGTATTGATGTTATACTTCTATAAACTTGATAACAATATTTCCTAGCTTCCTAGTCTCGTCTCCTCAAAGTTTAAAACGTATTTATTACTTTCATGCGATTAAATTTACAAAAGAGGTAAATGTGATTAGTGTTTGTGAGCTTATTTCATGCATCCCCGTGTTGATTCTGGGGCCCTATTGCTGGGGAAACAAGCCTAGGCCCACGCTTACCGAAAAGCATGTCGTAAGAGTCGACTAAGTGGGAGCTTCCTTCAAAGTCGGAGTGCGTGAAAGGCAAAAATCAAGCAGTCTGCATAAAAACGTGTCAGATCTGTAAAACGGAAGTGCACGCAGCACTCAGGTTTTGGAACAGCACTAGAGTCCAGAAGTGGAGAAACAATCAGTTTTCTCCTGAGTTTACAGCCGGTGAACGCGACGAAGAAAAGGAAGAAGATATTATTTCATGCAAAATATTCTAATGTTGACCAAAAAAGAAAAAGTATTATCTTCATGCAATTATATGTGTACTTAAACATTATAATTTCTTCATTCTAAATAACTCTCTCTCTCTCTCTCTCTCTCTCTCTCTCTCTCTCTCTCTCTCTCTCTCTCTCTCTCTCTCTGCCCCTGTCTCTCTCTCTCTCTCTCTCTCTATATATATATATATATATATATACATAAACATTTATATATATATATATATATATATATATATATATGTGTGTGTGTGTGTGTGTGTGTGTGTGTGTGCAAAGTATAGTATCATGAGAGGATAGATGGGCACGTCGAGGAGAAAGAACCAGAAATGCGATTGTTTTTATAAAACGAGTTGCTAATTCTGTATCACAAACTACGACATAGACACATACCCCAAGTCTTCATAATCCACCGTGTGCTATCAACAAGTAAATAAAAAAAAAATTTTTAAAAATTTGAACAAAAATCTGGAAATGAAATATAAACCAAGATTTAAACAAATATATTGATAACCGAGAAACAACATTCAATTAAAGTTCACATTTGTGGTAAACAAACTTGAAACCTTAGCTGAGGATAAGAGCGATGCCAGGAAAAGAAGTGTTCCTGAAATACTGATGAAGAAGACCTTACTTAAATAAAGTAGAAGCAGACAGAAGTAGTTAAAACTGGACATAGTTTATCTCAGGGAATCAAGAAAGTTGCAATGAATTATCTCTTCGGCAGTGTTTCCCAATGTCCCCTTTTCAGCGAAAGAAATCTCCCAGCTCGCCCTCTCGCTGTAAGGGTTATCATCATCATGTGTCACGCCGAAAAGCTTCCGCGGTTATCATAACACGGATCAGCAGAATCACGGATCGGATGGTGCTTTAGGGGGAAAAAAAAAATTAAATTGCATGGTTGATGTTGTCCTGTTTATAAGAGTGTGAGATGTTTTGGAAGACATGTTTTACATATGTGAACATGGCAGCTTTTTCTTTTGTTAAGCTGGCGCTCAGTTCGAAGGAGGAGTCTGCTTTTGCTCTTAAGTTGGTGCATTCTTCTCCTGCCGATGCTGAGTGAGCAGTTGTGTCCTCGCAATGTTGATTCGCAATAAGGTGTATAAATCCATCACTAAAACCATCAGATCAGACAAATACAAAAAACTACGACACTGAGCTACAACCTGGTACCAGTGAGACGACAAAGGAAGGAAGAAGAAAAATTTAGATTCGCCCACCTCCTTTTTGCATTTTCCTTACTAACACTGTGTGTATAAATATGAGTCCAAATATTGGAGGGAAATCGATTTCTAAGTAGGTAAAGGGGAAAAGCTCTTTGTTCTGACTATGGTCTTTATGGAGATGATTCCTGGAACTACCAGAACTATACTGGATACGATTGGAGAGTTAATCA